TCACAATTAAACCTAAGTATGTTCACATGTGCAAATTCTTACCACTAATTTCATAGTGGTGACATTTTATGTTCATATGAAGTCAGTCCAATTTTAGACTCTTGAACTGCTTTTTCTGCAGCTCTCAAGCATCTCTTTACAGAATATTTCAACAGTTTAAAGATGCTGCTGTAATAGTAAATAAACATTAATCCCTGCAGGAATTAGCTACATGAATTTTTAACTGGATAGTTGTGCAGTCTTTGGTTTTAAGCTAAGTGACAGCATGAGTAATGACTAATATAATCAACTATAACGGTTAAGCTTTGCAATGTGATTAAACAGGAAAATGGCTGCAGAATTATCTGTTTCTTTGCAGTATCCAATACCTTGAACTGAAATGGTTTTTAAGTTGCACACCAGCAGTGATTTTTGTGCCCTTTACTCATGACTAATGATAATGATATGTTTGTCTGATTTGTTAGATATGGTTTCGGGAATGCTGGAAACGCAAAGTTTAACGTTCCTGGTGGAGCGATATTGCAGTACAAGATTAAACTAACAGCCTTTGAGAAGGTAAGGTGGGAGTGTGTGGCAAACACAGCAGCACTTTAGATGCTCATTTACAATATTTTCATCTAAAAAGGAAAATGTGTTCTTTCTATTTTAGGCTAAGGAATCATGGGAAATGAACACATCGGAAAAGCTGGAGCAGAGCAGCATTGTCAAAGAGAAGGGAACACAGTATTTTAAGGTTTGCTTTGTTTTGTTTTTTGTTTTAAATGTAAGAAGTGATCCTGTCTTGGATTTCAAGATGTTTTGTGATGCAATGGTTTATATGCTTCAGGAGGGAAAATATAAGCATGCATCAGTGCAGTACAAAAGGATTGTGTCATGGCTGGAACATGAATCTGGTTTGTCAGAAGAGGACGATAAGAAGGCGAAAGCACTGCAGCTCGCTGCACACCTGAATTTGGCCATGTGCTTCCTTAAACTACAGGAGCCAAACAAAGCCCTGGAACACTGTGACAAGGTATCTGGTACCTGTTCTTTGTCTTAAAGCAGCACGTGTGTATGATCAGTGGTTTGTCTTGGTTTTTGCTTAAATACTGAAAACATTTAATTATATTTATGTAATTATATTTAATTATGTTATAGTCGATGGAGTTGGATGCATCCAATGAAAAGGCGTTATTCCGAAAGGGAGAGGCACTGTTTGGAATGAACGAGTTTGAGAAGGCGAGAGATGATTTCCAAAAGGTGGTTCAGCTGTATCCTGCCAACAAGGCTGCCAAGAACCAGGTATAACACAGTGTGCTTTTTAAGTGTAATTCAGGCAGCTTTCAACGTTGAAATTTAATCAATCTAAGCTAATATTTAATTTAAAAAGAATTCTGTCTCTCTCTGTTATGGCAGTTACAATTCAGTTTGGTTAATGTGTCTAATTTTATTGTACTAGCATCTAAAATAAGACAGGTGAATGTTTAACTGAGTTTAATTTATTTTCATGGCGTAAACGAAAGTTTATACTGGATTCATTTAGTAACAAATCAGGATGGGTGAACAAATATGACTGTGCTTCTGGGATTGAAAACGCTGTTCTTTTAGGTCACTGGTCATAAAACAACAGTTCTGCATATCCAGACTTTCGGTTGTTGTTGCACCCATAACATATCTGGAAATACAGCAGGGTGACGTCTGCTTTATGTTCTTCCAGGTGCTACTTTGTCAGAAACGTATAAAGGAGCAGCACGAGAAGGACAAACGCATCTATGCCAACATGTTCCAGAAATTTGCAGAGAGGGATTCAAAGGTGATGGATCTGTTTACTAAAACAGCCACAAGAGGGTGTGATAAGCACGATTTTAGGTTTGGCAAAAAGTGAAGGTGTGCTGAACTGCTTTGTGTCTCCTGAACAGAAAGAAGCAGAGAAGGGGAAGAGTGAGAGCGTGGAGAATGGAGAAGATGCGATGGAGGTTGAAAACGGAGAAAAGGAAGCTGGGGGTGAAGCAAAAGCGTAGATGAAGACGCAGCTTCTTTTTTTTCTTTTTCTTTTTTTTCCCTTTCCTATTCTCTCCTGCGGTTCATCTGTACTTCAGACTTTTGTAACTCTGGCCATTTGTGTTTAAGGTGTGATTGTTTGTGTGTGAGAATGAGTATGTCATCAACAGCACTGACCTTGGGCACGTCCTCGCTGGCTTTCTTCTTGATGGGCTTTTTGCTGTGGCAGCTAGCCGACTATGGGGTGAGGTGTCGTCAGGCACCGTGGGACGTGGATTTAAATGAATTGTATGCTACAGTCCTACCGCCCCCCCCCCCCCCCCCCCCCCCCCCCAACCCCTCCCCCTCAACTCTGAACTGTGCATGTGGTTTCAAAAGAATTTGGGAAGTGTGGGGGGGAATTGCATCCAAAATGTTAAGTGCTGAATTTCAGAACCTTCACCCGTCAAGGGCTAGACCATCCCCCACCTTGCACTACCTTCTGTCGGACCCACCCTATGTTTTTTGCTGTCCATCCGAGCCTCCTCACGGGCCTACTGATCAATTCCTAGAGTTGTGATGGCTGTGTGCATAGATCCACTGTGTTTTCAATGTTAGTGCCTATGTCCCAAAGTATGTATGTAGCAGCACTGTGGATAGGTGGAGTAATAAGATGTTGGTGTGAAATAGCTGTCAGACTTGGAGCTTTTCTCTCAGTTTAAAATGGAGTTCACTTTTAACCCCTAGGGTACAGGACTGTTCACCTTCTGCTTTGGAAATGATTTTTTGTACTTTTTATTTCCTAGTGTTGTGCTTGTGATCTCTGTATTGTTCTCAAAACTACAAATACAACAGTTTACTTAACTGGAATATGTACATTTTTAAAGCAGCTACAGTAGAAAGTACCTGAATTAGCTTCTCCTGGACGCCCTCGAGTATTAAGCAGTTAAGTCTTAATTTACTGTAAAAAAGTACTTGTATGAAAGTGTACATATTTGGCTTGTCAGATTCAGGTTTAGACTGTACACGAGAGGATTAAATGAACCTTTATTCATTTTAGTCAGCAGTGCCTGCAGGAAAGGGGGTGGAAAAACCAAATGAGAGGCCCGGTTATTTAAAAACATGGCTGTGGGTTGTATGTACAGCTCATCTTTGTTGGGGGGAAAGTCACTGCTTGTTCTGTCCTGACAGAAGGATTTAATAAACAAATGGACACAACTCAGCTGCGTGTGATATTTTTGACTTGTACATGCATTTCCTCCCACTTTTCGTTGGTCACGTGAGGAACTTAAGAACCTGTGATGTATCCATCGACACAAAGTGTGCAAAATAAAGAATCTGCTGACAGTGTCACACGAGGAGGACGACTCCTCAGCTGGACTTGTGCTCTATGATGAGGAATTTGTTTATAGGTTAAGCAAAATTAAATTGACCTGATTTTAAATGTTTAAAGGTTGTACGAGTTGATGATAGCCATTTAACCTGTAATAAGTTTGATTTGTAATATTTGCATTGCAAGTTAACTGAATTTGGTTTTTACACTGTCTGTCACATAAAGTAAGCTACTGCAAAAAGATGTGATGGGGTGGGACGGTAAATGCATGTTTTTTTTATTATTATTATTGTTTCATATTGTGCTTTAATGAAACATAAGGTTAACTAAGCTGTTTACTCTCCATCTTTATGGGAGGAATATTAAAATCTCTGTGCAAAAATACCAGCACTGTGTTGTGTGTATTTTGAAAATTAAAACTACCGAGCTTGCACCTGTGACAGTCGGGAGGCCTTGTCTTGAGGAGTAAGAGGTGTTTATCTGATCCTCAAGCTCTCTCACTCAGCTTACAGATGTGCTTTCTCTCCCTCTGGGGTCGTTATGACCCAGTACTGCTTATTCTCCACAGAAGTCAAAAGTATTTAATTTTTTTTTTCTTTACAGTGTTTGACTTTTTACTGACATTTCTTCTGAGAAGATCTCCTTTCAGTGACTCAGCATTTTAAAGGCAGACAGGTGTGGGGATCGCACTTACCTGGGAGGGTCTGCTTTCTTTTGTGTTCCCTATGCCATGAGCCCTTTGTTCTGTTATTTGCTGCTCATGATAAAAGACATACAGTATCAGTTATCGGTTATATAATCCATATAGCCACTGGCATTTTTGATCATGTCTACGATTATGAACAAATGGAGGCAACACTGGATATAAATAAATGTAAAAAACAAACAAACAATTCAATAGGGAAAAAAACCCTTTTACTTTTTATTTGTTTATACTCTTAACCATTATCCCTTAATGATCCCGTACATCCACTGAATAGCACGTTGGATTAGTCATGGTGGCTGTTAAAGCATTGGTAATATTGTTTCTTAGGCGTGTTTGTTATTCAGAAAATGTACACCCACCCTCAAAGCCTGGCAACAATTTTTTATGTTTTGCTTTTTAGATTTGAAGACACTTTTTTACGTTGTCTAACTTTATTACAAATGTGTAATTGTAACATAGGAATACATGTCACATGTAAAACGTAGGAAAAATCTCGAAAGGCAACAAAATCCAGGAAGTATTTGTTGCTATACCTGTTGCAGGTAAATCCCAGGGTAAAGGGTGTGTGTGTGTGTGTGTGTGTGTGTGTGTCGCTGAACGTGTTTACTCCTCCCTTTAATCTCGGCGGTGTGTAACGTCGAGCTAGCTAGAATACTAGAGAGTGTTTCCTGTTTCAGATTTCAAAATAAATCACAGGCGTGGAAAAGTTGTGACCTAAGGAGCTTGGAAAGAAAAGAAAACGTTTCGCTCTAGGAAATAAAATATATCATTATATTTCACGTTGATGAAACTTTGCGCTGAAGTAATTTTGCCACATTTGTGCGAGTATTCGCCGATCAAGTATTAATTTTTCTTTCACATGATCACGATCGTGCTTTTACGTTGACGGCAACGCTGGTCCTATTCTGGCCGCTTACTAGCTCCTTCCATCTGGCTTCTTTAAATTGTGTGGAGGATGGTGAGGGGAGGGGAGGTTAAGATTTCATTCCTGGCTGAGTTCTTTGTACCGAGCTGCGTGCGATTCATGTGGTACTAGCAAGAACAGAGGTCAGGTCTCAAGCCGGGCGCTCAAGGAGCAATAGGAGACCTATTAAAAGTTTTAGATGATCGAGAGTGCCCAGTGTAGGTCACCGGCTGGCCCAGGGCAAGGTGGGATTTTTCTCCGGATGAGTTGCACCAGGGGACCCGAGCGCCGGAGATATCCAGGGTGCCGGTGATAGTGCGCATCCACCGGGAGCAGCGGTGGGCGGCAGGCGGACGTGCTCAGGGCGCGTTCCGTCCCCTCCTCATGACAAAGCGGGTGAGGAACTCGGGAGCAAGTTTCCCCCGGGAGTCAAAATGATCACGTCGTTTTTCCCCTTGAAGAAACTGCGGCGAAATGGCAAATATCTCCTGCTCGGCGCGATCCTGCTGGCGGGATTGGTGGCCGTGTACCACGAGATGGTTGCTGCAAAAGAATGGAGCAGTGATATGAGTAAGTTTATGGTTTATGATTTCCAGTACGCGCACTGCTACTCACAGAGTGTCACTCAAACCTTTGCAGATGTAATGCACCATTCAGACTGAGTTTCTATTTATGATAATTATGCAGTAGCGATAGCAAGTGAACAAGCGCATGCGGGAGGGGGGGGGAGAGAAATATAGCGTGCATGATATAAGCTATTTGTCGCGTGGCACTGTGGTGTTGAACAGTCCACATCATTTACAAAAATAGGGAAACACAAACATGAAATACTGCTAAGGCCGCTGTAAAAATGAGTCATCACCAAAAACAATGTATGAAGTTGTTTGGTGAATTTTTTTATTATGTGAAGTTGGAAGTCAGAAAACGAAGTCGCAAAAGATTTGTTTATTTGCATGAAAGATTTGAATGCATGTGCATTTTACACAAGTTTTCACATCTAACATCTGCTTTAGCTTTCCTAATGTTGGATGCATTTCCTCAGGAAACTTGAGCCTTCAGCAGGTGAAACAGCAGGTTGATTTAGGGAAAGAAAGACAGTAAGAAGGGGGTTAGGGAGGTCAGGAGGTCACATAGTAGGTTTACACTCAGAAGGAAATCTAGTCTCACACTGGGTAACCAGATTTCCTGCTTTCTACCCTCACATGTTGCCTTACCGTCAGTCGCAGCACACATACACACACACAGCACAAAACAGATAAAAGGAAACAACAGTGGGGTTGTTGAGAGAAACAGAAACATATGACACACTCAGTCTGAGCACAGCATCAGCATGTAAACACATGCCTAGATCTACATTAGAGGGCTCGCCTATATGTACACACATTCCTGGGCTGAAGCCCCCCGGCCACAGTGGGGCTTCTATTGAGAGAAGGACTCCACAAAGCTCTTCAAACAGAGCTGTATTAAAATCCTAACATGGATAAATAATTGGCAGGTGCAGTTAAGCACATGACTTCAGTTGCAAGTGGTCAGTATGAGGTTTCCTTTCCCCCCCCTTTTTTTACACAGTTCATAAGACAAGACAGGTGTTTTTAAAAATGTTGTAACTTGATTGTTATAACATACATGTACATGACTGAGTGAACAAAATGAGTCATGGCTCACATAAAAAAAGCCCCAAACACATAATTCAAGTCAGTCTGTTACATAATTACAAGAGAAAGAACCAACAACAATTAAAAATGATATTTATTAAGAGTTTTTAGAACCTTGTATTGAGGGTCAAAATGAGGTCCACTATGGGGATGTTGTGCCTATTCTTGATGCCATGTGGCTGCTGTTTTAAAGTGTGCTTGTTGAGTGATTTGCATGGCTCGCCAGCAGCTTGAATTGCACTTTTGGACCTATGCGGAAATGTCTTCTTCATGTGGAATTCACTGAGGTTTAAAATTTGCTATCCTAGAGTACACTTTGTGGGTCAGAGCAGCACTTTATATCTTTAATGGGTCATAATCTGTTCACACACACTTTCATTAAGAACGACTTCTCACAAGTGCATCTTCTTTTTACCCTAAATGCAGTTTTTACGACTCACCCACAACTCTGTTTTTTTTTTCTACCTTTTGGGAAAATATAATCACCCAAGTTCCGTTTTATTTCCCACCTTTTTAAGAATGCATGCCCAATCTACACCTGTAATTAATGTATTCTCCCCCCTCACCCATCACCACTGCATTCGTGAAATTTGCTTTTGCAGTTTTTGCAAAGATCACCTTGGTGGAGAAACATGCATCAAGGTGAATTAAAGGAAGTGCGTAAGTCGTCGGGAAACTTCACATGCAGATCTTTTATTTGTGCAGCAGGTGACTCACTCACTCAGGTTAATCACCTTTAAACTAGACAAACAGAACTTGAGATGTGCAGTTTTTATGGGATGGACTTTTTTCTTTCTGAGATCATATGAGCACTACAACTAACAACGTAGATAATGTTTGCTGCAGTAAAGCAGTTAATAACTGGCCCAGCAGAATAAAGATGGCCATTGTGTGATAATTCCATGCAATGGACACTTGGCCTAGATTTTTAATAACCCTTTGGTAAAAGTCGAGAACTAGTAGTTAAACTCATAATGTGCAATTTATTATCCAATTAATTTGGCTGACATCTACACACACACAGAAAAAAAATTGTGACGCAGACAAAGATCCTTTAATACACAATGGCCACATGCAAGGTCGAGTGACTTATTTAATTAAATAGCTTGAAGAGCATAGGCATCAGTTAAGGCTTCTAGTCCAGCTTTGTGGGATATATCCGTAAGCAAAAACAAAACAATATTTTTAAAAATGGCATTTTTCCACACAGCAGGAGCCCTTATGGTGAAATACTGCAAAATTGTTTGATTTATGCATTGTAAGCTAGGACTGGGGAAGAAGTGCTGTGGGATAATGCAAATTGTGGCATCAATCCAATACCAAGTAAACACAGTACTGCCGATACCAATACCGACACTGATATTTTTAACTTCTAGAGACGGCTTGTGTAAGGGAGAGCAGTGTGTCATGATTTATAAGATGAATCATCGTCAATTGCCGAATACTGAACACCTTTTAATGTTCAGTAATCTAAATCACTGTGATTTTTACTGTCCACAATAATTTAACACAACAGCACACACGTTTCAGGTTTTCATGTATTTTGAAACTGGGTTGGTTTTTGGGGTTTGTTTGTTTTTTGAGACCTGGAATGTGAATGTGCCTCTAAAGTAAATATTGGTGCTTTTTTGAGATTTGAATGGCACTTTACTTTTTGCAAGAGGCTACAAATAAAATAGACATGACAGTCAACACAAAAAGGTTCCTCTTTCATAATGCATGTGAGAGGTATATTTTTCGTTTCCCAAAAAATTATTAACACAATTCAGTGGGCTGCATAATGAACTTAGAGAGACACATAGTATTGGTCCTGTCATGCTAGTATTGATCCAATACCAATACCACGGTTAGTATCGATATTTAGATTGATCTGTCCAACTTCATATGGAAGCCAATTTGCGGGAGTACAAAGACATGACCTCACAGCCACTTTGGTTGCTACCGTTTGGCTTTATTATTCTGTAAAACTATGCCACAAAGGTCCTCATAAAAACCTTTCTGAGGCACATTTTTAGGAATGTTACCGGGAAAAAAAAAATCTTTGTCATAAAATCCAAGATGTCAGGCACAAGTGGATCAAAGACATTCTGTTTGATTTCCTCTGTGAAAATTGTGCACATTGTTCAAAGGTTTCAAGCTTTCTTATTTGAGGTAAATACACAATATAGACAAAAGTACTGGGGCACCTACACATTACACCTACAGTAGCTGTTCAGCCATGCAAACACATTCTACGTACGAAGCTCGTGGCACAGATTTTATTTGCTGATGTTAATGCCAGAGGAGCTTTGATACTCAGCAGTTAATGAGTCAGCAAAGCGTCGGCGGCGCTATACACCTCGGTGATCCCATTCTGTAAGTTTATGTAGTCTGCTACTTCATGGTTGAGTTTCTGTGGTTCTTAAACACTTCCACTTTGCAGCAATACCCCTCACAGCTGATGGTGGAAGATCTGAGAGGTAAAACATGTCATAAGCTGAGTTGGTGCAGTGGAGGCATCTTATTACAAGACCAAGCTTAAATTCACTGAGCACTAGAAAGGCCTACTGTATCACAAATGTTTGCAAAAGGCAGAAAGCATAGCTGGATGTTTGGTTTTATACACATGTAATAATGGGACTAAAAACCCTGAATTAAAAGATTAAAAGATGTGACCCAGAGGTCAAGAAACATCCATCTCAAAATATGACTTCCTGAAGTCTTTGATCCATACTCATCGACACACACCTTCTTCACCTTGGAGACGCTGTCCCAGGCTTTTGTTGCCGCCACCTTCACTTCTTGAACTGCCTTTGACTATGGTTTACAGAAAGTGGACAGTATGCTGAGCTTAATTGGGATCAGGAGATATATTTTGGCAACTTGGGGACATTGCAACACTTTACAGAAACTCTTTGTTTGCTTATAGGATTTTGGTTTTTATATATTGTGCATTCGGGGCATCTATCAGGAGGCAAATCATCTCGTGTGCAAAGGTACTACTTTCAGTAAACCATAACTGCTCAGCTACCACGTTTGGTTGATTCCAGTTTTCTGCATAGTTAACATAGAACACATCGTTACACCTCTGTTTGTTTGCACTTTAAAAAAAAAACTGCAAGTAAGCTTTCATGCTTTTTGAGGCTTACCAGCGGTTTGTCTCTTGTGGTGAGTTGTCTGAGGTTTTGGTAGTGAAGTTTTTTTTTCCTCTTTGCAAAGAAAAATGTACGCCTACATTCTGGAAATTTACTGCATAGTCATTTTTTCCCCCCCCTTCATCTTCCAAAGAATCTGCCGGTCACCTCTTACCTCTCATTTTGAGAGCCAGTTCCACTTTAGTTAAAAAGGCAACGTTTAACTCTCGGTGTATGAGTTCAAGCTGAAACAACACAGAAGCTCAAGCAATATTATGCATCCATTTGACACATTGCTTTTAAAACTTGCAGTATAAAAATCGATGCATCTCACAAACAGTTTAAAAAAACAAATCCTGTTGTAAACCTTTTTAACACTAAAGCTTAAAGCACATAATCCAAAGAATACTGTGGACACTTCATTTGCATGCTAAAACATGCAAATGAAGCTTCTTTTTTTTAAATGATGTAAATGATATATTTGATTATATTCTGTTTTACATGTTATCACAAAGCCTCTCCCTTTTATTCAACACGTGAATCCAACACCATTTGTCCAGTTTGTTTTCACTTTAAATGTCTGTTAGCAACATTTTTTTTGACAGAATAAGAAGAGTCGGACTGCTAAACTGGTATGTTGTGTCCAAAGTGGACAGAAAAAAAAAACACTAAAACAGCAACAATGTGACAAGAGTTTTAAAAAAAAAAAACCTTTGTTTTCCTGCCATATATGGAAGCAGAAAGCTAGTGAAACCCTGCTGCATTCTTCTTATCACCTGAAGTGTCCACCTTGACGGTGAATTTCGCAATACATTCCACGAAAGTGGAAAAAAACATGACAGGGAAGGTTTAGTAAGAAGAGGAGAGGAGTGCAAATAGAGATGAAAAGTACTCCACTGTTGCTTTCCTTATCCACGGCTCTAGAATTACTTGTGCTGCTAAAATTGGAACGTATGTCACAAGGGTGTGTGTTTGGAGATCTCCACCCTGGCGATAATGACAGACCATCACTGCAGTAACTCCAGTTCACCGCTGACACCACACGGTCGTAAAAAAATAAAAAAGAAAGACAGACAAATACGTAGGTCCTGTTTTAAAATACACCCTGCCCTGTAATTTGAAGGATGATGGAAGAAGTCAGCAGGAATAATATTTGAGCATCTGCTCTGCCACAGCGCCAGAGATGTTTGCCAACGCGGGAGCCCTGTGCCATAGCAGCTCTTTGAAGCCTGTCACTGAGAGGAGCTATGTTCAGGGGCTATGAGCAGTGAGACTCTGCTTAGACACCGGGCCTGATTGTTGCGTGCAATGCATGGGCAGAGTTTATTATTTATGCATGGACGTGTAGCGTGCCTACCGCTCCTCACATGCAACCCAGATAGAGTTTCTTTTATGTCACAGGTTGTAAGAAGCAGATTGGGATTTTTTTTGTTTAGAATGCATTTTGATTGGATGTGCACCTCCTGGGGGAGCCTCAAGTCACTTTAAAATAACCACTTTCACAGAGATGATGTGACCATGTTGACTATTGTCTTCACCTATATCCTCAGGTTCAATTACTGACGCTGACCACGTCACCTGGAGGAGAGCTATGTTTGAAAATATGGTAAGGATGGCACACAAGAGTGTTTGTTTTTTCAGAAAGGAAACCAAAGCTAAACCAAGTTTAATATTTGTTTTTACAGGCAAGAAAGGACCATCAGCCAAACACTGTTGGGGACAGCAGTGCTTGGGTCTCCAGTTATGCTCCACAACCTTGGAAACCAGAGGTGTGTGCGCTTGCCCATACCTAAATATTCAATCTCACTTCCTTTGAACTCTGAATAAGCTGCCTGGGCCTGCCCAGTGGCCTCCCCTCCCTCAGTCTCTCCGTTTACAGTGTGACTCCATTTCAGAAGCTTCCCTGCTTTGTGTTAATGTTTCGAATATTTCATGTCAGGTGTAACCGGTTCCTGTTTATGTTTTGAGGCAATGTTGCCTATTTCAACAGCAGTATTGCATGATTAAACAGACAGACCTGGAAAACAGGGCATCAGAGATTCTATTATAGATACACAGTTTACAAATCATCCACAATAAGAAATCAGGAACAAAAAAAGGTGCAGTTTCTAACAAATTTAAGAGCAATCACACTGACCAAGGGGACATTTTTCTTCTTTATTATCAACTTAATGTCTCACTGGTAATCAGGGGGTTGGCCACATATTTTAAAGTGTTTTTCTCACTTCTATTGTCACTCTGGGGACAAACGTTTGGAAAATATCACAAGGGTTGAGACAGCACAGGCGAGGAACATAGGAGAATAAGAGGAAACCAGCCTAAGCAGATATTGAAATGTAAAAAACAACCAACAGAAAAGTCTGCAGACATGCATAGATTGCTACATAGCTGCACCCTTTTAAGAAGCCAATGATTTACACACAATTTACAGCACAATATTAGTATATA